CCCTGGCACCCAAGGTTGCCAGACCGAAAAACTCATCTGCTGAGTGGATGGCCCCAAAAACGTCCCAACTTTATGATTTACCAAACCCCAAAAGTTGAAAGTTCATGAACTCAGGAACTGAGGGGGGGGTTCTAAAGCATTGCTTGATTTTGACCAGGGGCCCCCCCCAGTGGCCCAGTGGCCGAGCCCCCAGGGTTCCCCAAAAAACCACCCGCCTGGACCAAGCCTTCGAGCTTCTCCGTGCTGCGAAGGCTGTAAAAGGCCACCACCTGCGATCGCGGATCGGCGAGATCGATCCGCCGAGCCGCCGATCCGCGCGCATCCTGCAGCGGTTTTTGGGGGCAAACAAAACATCGACCCAAGAGGGGCATGACATGGCATGACCCTATGGAGTCTCTTTCTGACCGAATAAACATGGTTGGTTACCCAAAAGAAAGGGATCATGGCCAACCATGTTTAAAGGGAGAGACCAGGGCTGTGGGATCAGGGATTTATCCATGTGATGCTTGTGGGAATCTCCCTGTGGGGTGAGTCTTTGGGGTTAGGCCCTTGTTGTATCACAGATTCGTGGATTCCATTCCCGCTGACATCGACCATACTGGTCATAACCCCTACAATTTTCCGGGCCCAATGGAGAACCCGACCAATTCCTCAAGAGCCCTGAAACAAAAACTCATTTTGAGGGAGGAAGATGAATCAGAACCTTTAGGGGAGGAAGAAAGGGCACCTTAAGCGCCTTCAGGGGGGGGGTGCGCCTTTTTGGGGGAAAATTGAGCAAACGGATTCGGCGACTGGGCCATAGCGAATTTGTTGGGGGACCCTGGCAGCTGCGTCCCACCACGATTGAGAAAGTTCCTTCTTACAAATCAAGCCCAGATGGGGGAACTGCGCCATCTACCTCACCCAACTGTTACGGCCATTGTACACGTTTTTGGCTTCACTCTCTCCAGCTTCATGCAACCAACCCCCCCCCCGCCCCGCCCCAACAAAAAACACCTCCTGCTGTGATCCACCGGCTCCCAACCCGCTTGGGACCTCCAAAACTGGGATCTTTCGCGAGCTCCAAAAAAGATTCCCACCGTTGGGCCGGATCGTGATTCTGGTCGATCGTGAACCCCAAATGAGATCCCTCCAAACGAGCAACGAGATCTGGCACTCTTTGCACTGCCAGCCTTCAGCCTTTTACACCCCCGAAGCGTCTGGTGCATCCAATGTGCACCAAAACCCCAAAGGGAATTTCGGGCATGCGCGTGTATTTGGGCAGGTGGGATGTAGTCCTTGGACGGGGTCCGCACAAGCCAAAGCAAAGGTGGCCCAGACTCAGAGAACGGTGCAAAGCAGAAGCCGTGCAATTTGGCGCGCTTGTCTTGCTACAAGTTGCCGGTTCTCCCACTATGTGCCAAGAAGAAAACGAGTGACCCCTTGGAAATACATTGCGCCGTTGTGCCCTGCTTGATCTGGGTGGGCCATGTTGGCCTTTGGCTCTTTGCAACAACTTGCTCATGTTGCTAGCTTATTGCGAGAGCTTTGTCGTTGCCCATTAATTCGAAGCTGGGTGTCGCATAGGTCTCGACAAGTCAGCAAATCCTCATTCACTTGTGGTTCGGCGGAAACTCAACTGTAAGTTGCATTCACATACCAACCAATCCTCTACCAATTGGTTCAATACCACTAAGTGCAATACCATTGATATGAAAGGACAACGAGCTCCATCTTCCAGGGTACTTAAGACCGTTGGGACAAGTTTGGCATACCGCCAAGAAGCAAGCTGAGGCTTTCAACACAAACCTGCATGAAATGAAACCAAGCATTGAAATAGAACAGAGTCTAACCGTAAAAGCAAATGTAAGGGTCTGAACAATCCTAATGGGGCTGTAGGAAAGTTTCAACAAAAACTCGGAAACTATAATCGAGAAGAATGGTTGGCCCGGTTGCAAGATGTTTGTACGGCCTTGGCAAGGACGGACACATGTGCCCCATTCTGGGTGTACCCCTACAAGGTGTACCCCTACCCGAATTTCTGGGAAACCACACCCGCTTTCCGGCCATATGCCAACAATCTATGGAGTATATAGCTTGGAGCCACTATGCTCAGGAGTACCAGGGCCCTTTGACAAGGCCAACATGCAGCCAACGTATCTCAACTAGTTCCAGGAGGGATCTGTTGTTCTGAACGAATGCAGATTCATATTGAGCCTGTCGCAACCCAATGCCTCCGCGAAGTCGCGAGTTCATTTGAAACATGCTCCCTTGACCAGGCCCCAGTGCTGACAAGCCCCAGGACGCATGAAAGCAGACCAACATTGCGAAACAGGGAGACCTTGCTAAAAAGGAAACCAAATTGCCAGCGAAAGTCCTGCCCTCCATTGCCAAAGGTCAGATCTCTTCGATTCTGTTTTCGCTGCCTCTTTAGGCAGCGACTCGGCATGCTCCGCCTGCGGTGTGCGCAATGCGCGTGGAAACCGAAGGTCGGTGCGAGGGCTTGACCTTTTTGCTTGCCCCGTTTTCTCGTTTCATGAGCCGCTCTCTGTAGTCATCCTGTCAGAACAACCCGCAACAATTCGCAAAAAATGCCCAACGGTTTAGGCCTTTGCCGCCCTGTTGAGGTGACGTGCCAGAAAAGTTCTCCAAAATTGCTGGGTTTTGGGACAAGCATGCCACAAAAGCGGCTACAAGACTTGAGCTTTGCCAACTCAAAGAGTCAGGTGGTGGGAAGTGAAGGACTCACCTGATACAAGCTGGCTTACCACACTGGACGGGTTTTTTTGGTTCAAAGGGGGTCAACTGAAAACGCAAACTGCCTTCAGACTTTCTGAGCCCACGGGTAGAGTTTAACCGCCATCCCATGCAACCCTTGCAAAGGAAGCCGAGGCATTTCCACCAAACTTGCGGATAACCGATGGACAGCCTTAAAAAAAGCCGCTGCCATGGCCGGCTGAAAGCAACAACAACATGTAAGGAACACATGCTGAGCTTCTATGTTTGCTTGGGAGCAACAATAATCAATAAACAACTCACTTCTATTCCCAGGCAGATTCTAAACAGCACTGGGCCAGTACAAAGCGGTACCAAACCCATGCAAAATCAGTAGAACCCCTAACATCAGTCCACCACACGTTCCGCTCTCTTGAGTTCGGCTGTTGAACCGCCTTCTCCGATTGAAACGATTTCGCGGGCCGTGGGAAGGGGGGAGCTTTGTTCGACAAGGCCAGGGCCGAAGGACAATTGGGGAAGTCCCATTCTGAACCCTGACTTGTCTTTTCAGATCTGTTCCTTCTTGACCGATTTGTTTGGGGCAAGCTTGCTTTTGCAAGAATCCTTTGGCTCGACCCCTAGACTCTCCATGACTCTGTAAAAATGGGGCCCCATTTTTTAAGGGTCTTGGAGACTCCAGGTAGGAGCCCAAGCCCTCATGAATTGAGGGTCAAAGGCCCTCATATTTTTCGGGTGTTGGGGCTCCTAGGGCGATGTCTTGCTTTTTGTTGGGCCTCAAAGTAGTGGTCCTCGAAATTTCCGCAAGGAATTCCCCTCCAATGGATGTTTCCGTATGCGTATCATGGAACTGCTTAGGTGACCTCAGCTATGGCTCGGCGCGCGGCTGTCCAGCAATCTGGCTTCGACTCCTAGCAGGCCGTGTCGCTTAAGCCGAAAAGGATGCCACCCCCAAAACAGTGGCCACTGCTTGGAGAAGAAGACATATGAAGCAAACCCAAAGAAGCTTCAAGAGGAAAACCCGAGACATATGTAGAAATTATGAGGAAAACATGGCCCGCCTCATTATTTTACCATGATCAAAGTCACCCCCTAAGTGATGCGTTAAAGGGAAGGAAACCCCATTTTCTGACTTTGATAACGCCTAGAAACGGTCATAAAATCATGACCCCAGCATGGTGAGCTGAGATTTAGCATGGCCTTCAAGAGGCCCTACACCCCCACCACTTTGATTACAGTCTCCCTTCAAACCCAGTTGGGGCATCGATCAAATCGTCGAGCAAATTCCGTCAGTGCCAAAAAACCACTGGCTTGGGGCTTAGGCCTTGGGGCCAAAGAAAACCTGACTGGTTGGAGGCGGCTAGGCGACCTGGACGTGGCTTTTCCGAGCTTTGGGGGAGAAGTAAGCTGTTGAGCAGCCAACCTGGACGGACAAAAAATCCTACGGTTTCTCCTACAGTGTTCTTAGGCTGTCATTGGTCCCTGCAGGATTTTGTCCGTCCACAGGGGGCGCGTCAGAAGCTTCCCCACTTGAAATTGTGAACCCCAAAAAGGGTCCGTGGCTTAATATGGCAGAAAGTGAAAGTCTTAATACCCCTTGGGAAAATGCAACAAAGCAACTGTAGAAAGATTTGTGGCGAATCCCCCGGCCAAGGCCATGCCTTTTCTCGATCCCGAGGCCTAAGCCGGACCCATGCCGGACCCAGTGCCATACGAGACACTTCCGCCGTGAAACCTGGCGTTCAATGGTCTGCGCCCAACCTACTTTGGTTCTACTAAGAAAGTTCGACAGGTCTCCATATATATATATATATGTATACATACATATATATATATGCCAAATTAAACCAGACCCTCCTTCGAAAAAGACGCTGGGTGAATCGCTTTCGGGCGATCAAAGGCGAGCCCTTGGTCAAACCTGACCCTCCTCCCTCCCCCTCCCAACCAAAAAAGAGTTGGCAGCTGGATGGGTTGCGCCGGAAATCCCCAGGCTTCAAGCGGGCACGGCGCGCCAAGGCTCCAAACGACCAACCTGAGGATTTGTAAAGGCCGGGTCCGACTCACTCCGCAGGCATTCGAATGCCGCGTGCTGGCCGACTTCTGCGCTTGGACTTGTCCATCCATTTGCTTGCTGGTTTCAGCCCGGTCAGTGAAAGCGACATCCCCCAAGTTAGCCTCCAAAGTCGTCAAACGTTTGGGCGACGACTTCGATTTGCTTTAGACCCCTGGAACAAATATATTTCCAGTAGTGATAGATTCCTTTCAAACCAACAGGGGAATAGAAAAAAGAGAGAATAAGCTTGAGCAAATGGAAGACTAGATCGACCGTCTTTGTGGCTAGGTCCCGTCTCAGGCGAGCAGAGTGTTCGGCTGCGCCACTGGAAACGCAGAGATCCGGATGGAAGTGCACGCATAGGGCACCAGTGTCCGCTCCACCTGCCGGGTCTAAGAACTTTCTTGGAGCGCGGGAACGAGCTCATCGCGCTTAAGCCCCGCAGAGAAAAATCCAACAAGCAAAAAGACAGTAGTGATATATAGCTTCCCTTTAAGACCAACCCAGGGGAAATATCACATCTTCTTAAGCCAATGGACATGTGAAGATCGGTGAACACCTTTTAATTTTTTTCCGGCTGTTTGGTTCATAGGGGCCCTGCTTGGTCAGACTCCTGAACCGGGGGAGGTTTCTCGCATGGCGTTTCTCTGAGTGGATGATAGAGCGGCTTCGACCTCCATGGCCCTAAGAGGGTTCCCAGGCCAGACCTGACTTCCAGGGGACCGGGGCACACGCCGCTCTTGTGGGTTGGCTTTCAAGGGAAACCGGGAAACCCAAAAAACCCGCGAAGCAACGCCGCCCTGAACGCAACGCGGATGCAATCGGAAAACTCGTCGAATCCTAAGCCATACTGTGGATGGACGAAACTCTGCACCACCTCACAAACCCTAGAAATGCCAACGAACGTTATGGTTCTCCATGGTTTCAACGTGGTGCGAAATGGATTTCGCAACCACCCACAGGTGGTGTGATAACCCCGCGGTTTCTCTTCCCCGAGAGGTCGATCGCCTGCCTGGCCTCCAGGACTCCAGGAAAACCCATTTCCAGGTCCAAGGCTTGGACGTTGGAAGAGCCAAAATTCAAATTTTAGCAACTCAGTGGATTTGGTTTTCCCACTAAACCACAACAAGCAAACATGCAACATGTTTCCCAACAAGTTCAGGGGGGTTTTCGTTGTCTCACTAAACCACAACAAGCAAAAATGCAAAATGTTTCAAAACAACAACCATAAAAGGGGCCTTTGTCACAGAGACCAGGCATGACTAGTGGAACCACGAGGTGATTCGTTCCAAACCCGACAAACCGCCCGGGCCCCTTCAGAAGGAACGAACACTTCCTGCCTCGAACCTAGCATAAAGTGGGCAGCCGTGGAGTTAAAACCCACTTACCGTTGTGGCAAGTCCAGGCGGGTTGAATAAGCACTTGCTAAGAAGCCAATGAAGACACGTTTTGGGAAGCACCACTGAGGATGGCGCTTGACTGAACCCAGTTCTTGCGCGACTTCCCCTGAGCTACAGGGGCTGGCTTGAGTGCGAAAACCAAAAGGGTGCCCGCTTTACACCAGCTGCCCGCCACACTCACAAAATTATCGTTTCACACACAAATGGGCTTGTGACAAAATAGGTGGTCTCCTGTTGGTTTCCCGTACCACCAAAGTCACACAGGAAATGTGCACGGGGCTATTTTTTGAGCACCATCTTGGGAAAACAATGTCAGGAATTCTTCAGCCCCCTCAAAAAGTAGACATGCATGAGTGTTTGTTTGTGTCTGTTTCCTTGTTCGTTTCTTTTGGGGGGACACCCAAAATTGTGGTTTTCTTCTTAGTTGCCCTAGAAGCCCGCAAAAATCGGGGGACTTTTCACCAAAAAAATGCACACCCACACCCCCGTGGCTTTCCACACCTCCAACAGGTCTTCCTCCACCGGCAGCACGGGCCCCGGGGCGTTCGACAGCACCGGCCACTGCTCTATGGTCAGCGGCGCCAGGCGAGCGCTGACTGACCTCAGCTCACTGGCCAGAATTGGCACTGGTTGGTTGGTCGGTTGGTTGGTTGGTTCGTCGGTCGGTCGGTTGGCTTCTTGGCTTCTTGGCTTCTTGGCTTCTTGGCTTCTTGGCTGGTTGGTTGGTTGGTTGGTTGGTTGGTTGGTTGGTTGGTTGGTTGGTTGGTTGGTTGGTTGGTTGGTTGGTTGGTTGGTTGGTTGGTTGGTTTCTTGCTTAGTTGGTTGGTTGGTGGGTTTCTTGCTTGGTTGGTTGGTTGGTCGGTCGGTTGGTTGGTTGGTTGGTTGGTTGGTTTCTTGCTTAGTTGGTTGGTTGGTTGGTTGGCTGGTTGGTTGGATGCTTCCTTGCTTGCTTGCTTGGTTGGCTGGTTTGTTGGTTGGTTGGTTGGCTGGCTGGCTGCCTGCCTGCTTGGTTGCTTGGGTGCTTGGTTTGCTTGGTTGCTTGCCTGCTTGGTTTGTTGCTTGGTTGGGTGGGTTGGTGAATGGTTGCGCGTTGGCAACCAGCCAGCGCCGTCCCCCCAGGCAAACGCCTGGGAGTCCTGGGCCCAAAAAGTAAGCGTGACTAAACATGCTGTAGCTTGACCTGCCGTGTTTCTCACCTGAGTGGATGGCCCAAACAAAGCCCAAACTTCATGTTTCCCACTAAATGGTCTTCCCAAAAGCTTAAAGTTCATGAACTCAGGAAGTGAGGTTTCCCAAACATGCCAAGTGTTTGCGCAGCTTGTTGGGACTTTACCAAAGCAAAGAGGCCCTATTATCTATGAGTCACCCCACCCCGCCCGGCCACCCGCCCGCCGAGCGTCAGAGGGCAGCGGCCCCGTTGGAAGGGCCGAGGGCCAATGGAGGACCAGACCACAGGGTCCAGCTGCGGCTGGCGAGGAAGCCTCGAACATGTTGGGCCAACTGAGCCACAATCAAAACCGGGTGGATGAAGGTTAGCAAGGGGCAGTCCCAGCCAGAAATAGTTGCGGCCGCCTTCTTAATTCTTTACATGGTTCTGGGTAGACCATTGTAATACCGGGTTTTTGGTTGTGACTCAACAATTCTTGCCCCTGCAAAAGATGTAAGGTACTTCAAAACCACATCTAGGTCCTCCCGAGAGAGGTTGGAATAAGGGTGCCACCCTCGCGCAAAAAAGGGCAAAAGCACTGGAGGACCTAGACATGCATGATCATAGGCCGAAACGATTAGAATCTATTGTGTTGTGCCAATCGCTTTCCCCCATGAATGCAGCCAATAAATCAAAAAGGCTTTTCCGTTCGCGCCAATCCCGACACAAGTCTTACTAGGGGGTATTCCAGCACACTGCTTTGAATGTACAAAAACAATATTTACTTTTTAGTAATTCATATTGGCTTGTCTGATTGTCCTTCTAAATGCGTTTGCGCGTTTTACTTTTGAACAGCAAAAGAACAAACAAGACACAAACCTTTGTCGCGTCCGGAAGGGGGGAGTTGGACGAGGATGGAGGAGGAAATCCGGCCGACCCCTGATTTCCGTATCATTTGTGTCCCAGCAAATCTGTATCTTTTGAGGGGGTAATATTACAAGGGGGGAAGGGCTTATTTTGTTAGGTGGGAAAATGCCACGCAAGTGTCAAAGGGTAAAAAGATCAAAAACAGCAGATTCTGCTTCATGGAATCCAACCCCGCCTCCCCCATGGTGGTGGAATCGACCTTGCATGTGATACCATAAGTGGGCGTTCTGTGTTAGCCCATAAGCCCCATCCGCCTAAAGGGTTGAGGTTGGATCCTGCAGCTTGGACAACTGTTGTCTAAGCCCTACAAATGATGTGGTTCCTTTGCACTACGGGCAAGTGTTGCAATTACGACTCTGCCAAGCAACCCTTCGAGAAAACATACACCAAAAAAACAACAACCCTGTTGTGCAAGGGTGTGGCACCACGGGCGAAACACCGCAATTCTGCCCTTCTCTCAGGCTATTCTGTGGAAAGCTCCTCTTCCGGTACTGGGCGAGAAAACTGGGAATTGCCTCAGGTGTAGCTGAAAAACGATGCGTTCAACTGGCTTCGTCTTTCAACCTGCCTCCAAAAGAAATCACGGTTCGTTCTGCTTGCCCTTTGAAAGCTTGCAACAGGTAAACAACTAGTTGGTTCGCTTGCCCGCCAAAGGTGCGCCATCTGCCACGGCAACGAGGCTCTTGTGTCCCAGTTGGCTGCAGAAAACGCCAGCTGATCTCTCTTGGTCCTGGTCTCCTGATTGGTTTAGGGTGGTCACAAATCGGCTGATTCGGGCAATATTATCAGTTGCTCAGATGTGTTCAGCCTGAACATTGTCCACTGATTGAGGGTCCCCCGCAACAAAGGGACCCCTTCATCATAGCTGGGCGTTGTCGATCAGTGGCCTCCTTTTTGGATGGCGCCGTTGGAAATCCAAAAGAAAACCCAAAAGGGAATCTCAACATTCAAAGTTTGCAAGCGCCACTCCGAGCCATGCACTCTAGGCCAACGGGCTTCATGGTTTTGACTTGAGATGCATCGCAACACGCGCGAAAACCACCACCCGGGGTTTGTGTCGGCTCGCGAATGGATCAACATCAGCCAAGTACGTTCCCGCTTGAACGTATGTTGGGGACCCGTTCTGGTGGTCAACCGCATTCAAGTTCATCCAGTCAGCAGGTAGAAACAAGTTCTACATGGGAGCTTCTCCGCTATCTGAGAGCCTTGGAGAGCCTGGGGTAACCCTGCAGACTCCTAGCACTTGCATCGAGCTTCTTTGTTTCTCCGATTCAAGTGACATCCTGAAAATTGCCCCCGCGTTTGGTGGTTTGATGGGTAAACACCCTTCCCCCGGCAAGACAAGGGAACCAGTACTTCCCGAGCAGACTCGCAAGAGAACAAGTACCCAAACTTGTTGCTTACCGCTACAATGGTCCAAAGTTGAAGAGTGGCCAAAGTCCGAAACAGAACTCAGGAAGTGAGTTAAACACCACCGTTTCTGGGAAGCGACCCCAGGACCCCCATCTCTCCTTCAGGTCCAGCGCCATGAGCAAGGGGCCCACGTACACTGATGCTCCCTGCCTGGAGAGAACGATGGACGTCTGAATTGCAGTTGTGCCAGGTTATGAGATGTGACAACCATACCCTGCATAGGTAAAACACCATTGTTGCTTCAAGCACATGAATCCAAAAGTCATAAGACATATAGAATAAGGATGTTAAAGATTCAACATAACTCTTGCAGCAAGACAGGGACAAAACATGACATTGCTTGCTTCGTACCACAGCAAGACTAATGATGAACCGGAAACGCTGAAGTAGATCATAGCTACTCAATTATGAAAACTGAAATCAGTTGGCATCTTGTTACTATGAGAAAACCACGGTTACAGGGTTTTCGCAAAATAGGGGCCCCACAGTAGTCCGCTCCCTGCACTAATAAGTCCACCCCGTTAAGAATGTTGCATTTGAAGCCAAATTCAACAAGTCTCATCGCCCCCTTTGCTTTCACTTGACCCAACGCGAGAGCAATACTAAACTTCTGACAGCCCTTATTGGGGGGGACTTTCAGCACTTCCCTTGTTCAACTGCTACACACCTCTCAAAGCTAACATCTGAACAAAACATGCGCCTGGATTGTAAGGTCTACAATACAAAAGTAAACGATGAATTTCTACTTCTCCAGTGGCCAGAGGCGCATTTCCCTAGGGAAATGCATCCCTAGGACCCCGGAAAGCACGGTTATAACAGGATTCATTTGGACGGTTTCCTCTTTAGCTTCCTAAAGGTACTCTCATTTACTTCAGGGGGGGGGGGTTGTTGGGGTGAGGTGGCTTATGATAAGGGCAGGTCTTGCGCAGATTGCCGCACAGAAGTCATCCACCACTTGTCAATCACATTCAACGACCCAGGCTAAGTCCCCAGACCACCTGACTGGGAGCGCTTGCTTGTGTTGCTTGTGGCTGGTTTGGCCGCGTTCTGTTCGACACATATGTCCACCTCTCTTTGCTTCTCTCTCTCTCTCTCTCTCTCTCTCTCTCTCTCTGTTTCTCTATCCGTTGCCGTCAGGTCACCCTGCCTAGCTATGCTAAGGGCGAGACAGAAGCAGGCACGTCTGGCCCTGCTCCCAACCACCAAGCCAAGCGTTGCTATACAATGAAATGTGCAGCCTTACCAGTGAGCACCTGAATCTAAACGTGGTCAGCCCGCAACAACGCGACAAAGCCTGCACGCACCAACAAAAGTGGGCTGCACATGTGTCAACCAGCACTTGGTGTGGGCAGCGCAGAACATCACATCTACATGGCGTCTCTTCTTTGAAAAGTGCCGTTCTTGGGTGTGAGAGGCACGTGAAAGCCTCCTTCTTCCCACAGGGTTCCTCCCCGAACCCGAAAGCGGAAGTATACTTCATACGGAAGACGCAATCCTAGAAGCTCCTTGTCTTTGTGTTTGCCTTGTTGTTGCTTTTGCTGCTTCTTTTCAAAAAAAAACTAGTTCTCCTGAGTCGTCTCCATCTGCCAACAAACTCACCGCGGCATTACCGCGTCCGAGTTCGTATCCCCGTCCGGGCGGCTGCGGCGAGGACTGCACGCGGGCTTTGGCGGCCCAGGAGAGCCGGGCGGCGAGGCGTGACTTTGTGGAAGCCTTCGCCATCGGGCGCTGGGAATGACTTTCCGAGACTCGGGGTTTTGGGAATGAAGCGGAGGGAATCCCCGAATAAAGGAAAACATACTGTGGGTTGACGAAATCCTGCAGCACTTAAATCAACAGGTTAAACAAGGGTGTAGAAGGACCCCCCGCTCCCCATATCCAATCTTGCTTTGATGGGCTCAGCGTGTTTTCAGCTCCCAATATTAAAAAGGGAGTGTGAGGGCGTGCAACCCAATGCTGTGATGGTGGTGCAGGATTCTGTCCACCCACCGTAGGATGGATGGCTTGGGGCAGGGTTTTGGGAAACCTGATTTGGGGATTTCCGAATCAAGGAAACCATAGAGGGGATGGGCTAGCTCGGGTCATTCCATTGCTCATTTCCTGCTGAGAACCAGCAAGGCATCTGGGCCAGAATTAGACTTAGACAGCACTTAAAAGTGACAACTGGTTGGTGGGTGCAAGCCAAAAAGGACACCCGAATTTGTTGCTGGGGACCCGCTGCGAGAACATGAAGCATAACCAAAACGGCAGAAGTCGAAAACAAGTCTGGCAAGAGGACGAGGAATGGTTGGCATGTGAAAATGATTCGAAATGAATCGAATGAACGGACCCCGGAGTGTAGAATCGAGGACCAGCCCCAGAGCCCCCCACCCCCGACCAGTCAGCTGAGTTCGCTTCTGCCTGGTTTCGCCCTGGAGGAAAAAGGGCCGTTCTCCTAGCCTCACAGAAAGAGAGCCCAAAACTGCTGAACTTCTCTCGAAACTGGACAGAACCAAGGACTGGAAATCATGAAGTGAGAAGCCACCAAACCTTAACAACTCAGGCTGGAGATCCCTGTTTGCTGCAGCTGGACCTCACCTGTTTCCCAATGACTAGTGGCAACCTGACCCAAGTGGTGTTGCAACCAATGGCTACGCGTGGCTCAAAATTAAACAGGAGGGGTTACGCAGGTTCGGGTCCATGTTTCCACTTACCAGGGTTCCATTTTGGTAGCGTTTTTTGAGCCACAGCCAAATAACCATTGCATGGTTTAGAGCCTTTTCCGGGTGATTAAGAGCTGGCATTTTCCCAGGCCATCTCGCTGAGGCTAGGAGAGGGTTCAATGCGAAAACCTACATAAGATCTGCACCCTCACCCCCACCCACCCACACCCCGGAAGCCTTGTCCGACCTGAGAGAGCCCTGCCAAGAACAGCCGAATACAGCCGAGCTAGTGCCCAGCAAAAGGAAACCAAGTTCAAATCATTTCGGGTTGACCAGTTTTACTTGGACGGCAGCAAACAAACATTCTTTCGGTGCTTCGTTCATAGCCGAGACAGCTAAGGACTCGCCAAGGACAGACACACATCGCATCCGTCAGGTCTCAATTCAGGAAACGACCGGATGTCCCGCAAGCATCGGTTCTAACAAAGTGGGGGAGTCCGGCATCCAAACTCCAAAGATCTCCAAAGCCATAGTGGAACGCCACAACAAGGAAAACCAGCCTCTGGCAGGATGATGAATTGCCGTGTGTGAACAAGGGCCTGCTTTGAAGTACAACAATTCTATTTGCTCAAGCCCCGGCGAAAACATCTGTCCAGCAGTGATAGAAGCCCTTAAAAACCAAATACACCAGCATAGACCCCACACCACGGCTACGAACCATGACGCAGCATTGTCATGATGATGATACCGCAGCCACTGAGCATGGTGCGCTACAAACGCGCACACAACGTCCTAATGAGTTCAGCAGCATAATGATGATGTTGAGAGCATCATGCTGGTACAGTTCTGATGAGTTCGACAGCATCATGATGATGCGGACAGCATCATGATGATGCAGACAGCATCATGGCGGTGCAAACAGCATCATGCTGATGGTAAAGGCAGCATCATGATGATACAGCCACGAACCATCTTGCGACAGCGTATCAGCATCATCCTGATGTTGACAGCATCACGGCGCCACTACAACCACAAACCATAACGCAGCATCGCAGTGACCCCAGTTGCATCATGACGTGGTTGGAGCCACGAACCGTTACGCGCGAACAGCATCCACCAGCACCCCAAACTGCGTGCCCCTCCACCAGCACCCCAAACTGCATGCCCCCAAGCACCCGGCCGTCAAGCTCGCAACGCAGCATCCACCAGCACCCCAAACCGCATCCACCAGCACCCCAAACTGCATGCCCCTTAGCACCCGGCCGTCAAGCTCGCAAAGCAGCATCCACCAGCACCCCAAACTGCATGCCCCGTAGCACTCGGCCGTCAAGCTCTCAAAACAGCATCCACCAGCACCCCCAAACTGCATGCCCCCTAACACCCGGCCGTCAAGCTTGGAAAGCAGCATCCACCAGCACCCCAAACTGCATGCCCCCTAGCACCCGGCCCTCAATCTCGCAAATCACTTTCCACTTTTTTTAGAAGTTAGAACCCCTATAGCTTGCAGCTATCTGGGGAACAAGGGAAAACCGCACTCTTCAGCAAATGGAAGTTTGGGTGACTTGGTTTTGATGAGCCATTTCGCCCCAGCCATCAAAAAATCCCCTCAGCCGGTCGGCAGCTGAGATGTGGAAGAGAAGGAAACCATCCGCCGCACTCCTTAGACGCGCGGGATGTGTATGTGCTGCTCGACTTTCAGCTGGCCAAAGTGGAACCCCAAAACTCCAGGGGTAACTTCCATTTCCATTCTTTCCAGGGATCCGTCTTTCTAGAAAACCACCAAAACCCTGAAGGAATGGCTGCCGGACGGAGTGGAACCCGAATCCAAGCCACCAGTTGGAGGGAAGCTGCTTGATGGTTCCATTGGTCCCTTTTTTATGGTTTCTTTGTTTTGTGTGTCTTTTCGAAGCTACCCTTGTCGCCTTTCCAAATCCACAATTTTGTCGCAGCTGGAAGGAGTCCGGGCCCTATCTTTTTCGTCTTTTTTGGGTTCCTTCCAATCTGCAGGAAAGGCTTTCGATCCAAAAGGTCCCGGGATGTGGGGGGAGGGACGTCGGGGACGTGCGGGACGTCGGGGACGTGAGGGACGTGCCAGACTCAAACCGCTCCATGACTCGCAGCAAATACCCATGCCCGACCCTGAAAAAACTCAACCTTAAATCTCTGGCGCTAGGAGTCGCGGGGCAGGCCCCCACCCCCTCTCATCACCTCTACGGCAATGAGCCAGCCCAGTGGGGCGTCGCCGGCTCAAGGCCCCACGCCCTCTCCCCCCCGAGCAGCGCCAGCACATGCCAGACTCAAACCGCTCCGAATCACATGGCTCGCAGCAAATACCCATGCCCGACCCTGAAAAAAATCAACTTAAATCTCTGGCGCTAGGAGTCGCGGGGCAGGCAACCCCCCACCCCGTCTCATCACCTCTACGGCAATGAGCCAGCCTAGTGGGGCCCTGGCCCTGTCCCCCCGCGCCAGATGCGGTCTAAACTACGCTCATCAATTTGTTCTGAAGTTTTGGCACGGGTCTAGGCAGAGCGTTGCTGCGACTGCAGCCAAGTATTTTTCATCAGATGCGCTCCCATGTGACAAAAAGAAGGCTTGTATCCACTAAACCACGAGAACAGAAGCTGACAAGCGCTGGAGTTGTGGCTTTGGATGCGTGTTTCATTCTGTGGCAAAAAACGGAGAGCAGCTCTCCCGGCACCATTTGTCAGTGTGGGACTTCGAGTGAAAGCGGTCGATTATAATGCATCTGGAAGAAACAAAGTTCTGGGGAAGTGGAGCACCAGCGGCCCATGAACTGACGAAGATGACACGCGTCGTCCTGTAAAATCGTGTGCAGGGTAGGATACCTGCACTTCAACTGCGCCACGAAGACGGCTCTCTGCGCGGGGGGTTCCCCGCCGACAAATTCCATTGCGTGTAGAACCCGGCCATCCCTCCTGACCGTCGATTCAGGCGACGCCGCATTTTCACTGTGCGACATGATTCCCGAAAGCATGGACATAGCTCTCCCCCCTGAACGACGCATGATGATGCAGAATGCGCTTACTGAACCGCGCATGCCACTCCCAAGTGACGCCAAATGTTGGCGAGAGCATAGCCACATCTGACCGGGCGCTGCCGTCTAACCTGTAGGAACCTCGAGCGTCTGCGACAAAATTGGCCCAAACGACTTTGTCCCGAGCATGGCAGGTCCACCTGCGACAGCGCAAGGGCAAGTGCTGCGCAACGACCAGGCCAGCAGGAGTAAGAATGTGGCAGTTGCGGGCTGCAGCTTCCGCCATGTCTCTGTTGCATCCCGGGCAGGAAAGCCCGTGCGCTACTGCATCGGTCAGCGCGCGTGCGACATCACCAGCCGCGATCGGAAGCATGCCCCGAAGCATGAGCCTTTGCTTCCAACATGCCTTGAGGAGGAGTACCAGCATCAAACAACTCGAGAATCACATCAGCAGCGCTGAAAGTCCAAACAAGCGAGACATACTGCTGGGGTATTGGACGTCCGGGACGTGAGGGACGTGAGGGACGTGTCGGGATGTGAGGGATGTGGGGGATGTGGGGGACTTTCGGGACGCGAGGGATGTCAGGGACGTCGGGGACGTGAGGGGTGTGGATGCCGGGACGCTGGGGACGTCGGACTTTCGGGATGTCAGGGACGTGGACGCCGGGACGCTGGGCCCGGGGACGTGAGGGACGCGCGGGACGTCACACCGCTGGCTGGGGCGGCGTGGGGGCCACTGACAAAGGTAGCTTGTCTGCTAACAAAAAGCTTGGGGAAATAAAGCACCACTGGACGTCCAGGTTTACTCTCCAGGCAAATTGCTAGTCCAAACCTGTGGATGGACGAACATATGTGAATTGGGATGGATGAAGCCCTATAATCGCATAAAACACCTACAGTATCAACTGGTGCCAAATGGAGGAAACGCCAAGTAAGGAGAGCTTCAGATCAGTCCCCCCACTCAGTCACATGGCATCTGCAGACCATGAACTGGAACTTCCCCATCTCATTTGCCCAGTTCACCTCTTGGAGCCAAGACCAAAAATGGACCAACACGGGAAAACCCGGGTCAGAAGCTGGGGATTGGGCTTATCAAATATAAAGCGAATTATGGATTTTCAGGAGGGCTTTCTGTTTTTGTGTTGTTCGTTTTGAGGTTCTGTTTACTTTTGGGGGCTGCAAAAAAGCAAAGGTTTTTGGCTCACATGCCAATGATTGCGACTTGCCGCGCTGTGCCATCATCGCTCTTTACAAACACAGCTGTAGCTCTTTCCTCAGAGGCATGCGCACAGCGTGGCCAGGGAATATCCCCCGGATTTTAAGAATATAGCTCGCTAACTACCAACTCTGAGAGACATGCCCCTCCCAAAATCAAAATGCACGTCAAGGACCATCAGGACCGTGCGGCACCAAGTCTCTGCACCACGTCCTCATGCAGCCACACCCGCAGCGATTCAGGTGCCTCGCGCAGGAAGAGCGGCAGCCGGACCTTCAGCACGAAGGGCTCGGCGTTCTGGACCCAATACCTCTGCACGTGAGCAAGGCCCCAGGAAAACGAGAAACGTGTCTAGGTCCTCCAGTAGAGAGGATAGAATAGTTTGGTACCCGATTCTTTGATGTAGTCTATTTTCGTGGGGGAACCCTCCCCCCCAAGGGTGAAAAGGCACTGCTGGGGGACCTACAATGTGTTTGGCTCTCTCACTACCCCACATGACTTCCATTTGCGTTTTCGGCCCCTGGAAAAAATGAGACTCTTTGGGGGCCAGTAGTGATAGATTCCCCTTTAAGACCAACAAGCGACAATAAAAAACAATCTTAAGCAAATGGCAGATGAGGGCAAAGGCCGTCCCATGAAAGCTAGAAAGGTGTAAATGTGTTCATGTGTTTGCCTCTCTCACTGATTATACAGTTATCTTTGTTTGTGTGTGTGCGTGCACTTTTCGTTGTTGTGTTTTGTCGGAATTTATCAAAACATGGTTATTTAGCAAGCATCCGATGTTTTTTTACTGTGAAGTGACCTAAAAGTGCCAAGAACACCTTGCTCCCAAAGAATCACATTGCAAGCACTCGGGAACGGCAAAATGGGCCACCAAGCCCTGCCTCTCGGGACATGGCTCCCTCAATAGACCATGGGAAATACCATGGAACAAGTTGGTACACATTTGGGCGCGAACGGAAAAACGAACGGAACCCAAAGGAAGCCAAACCCATACTCCGCCCTTTGTTGATCATCTTTTGGAGGAGCAACCCTGCCCGAGAGGAACCGGCCCCCAGTGCGGGGTCAAGCACTCACTGAAGAGCACAGACCATTTCACCGGTTTTGCACCCGCTTACGAGCACGGAAACTCACTCGCAACGGGCAGCAAACGATGCGGGCATTTGCGAAAAGTCCGGAGAGGGACCCCACCGGTGCCACCGGAAGCCTCCAAAGTGAGTTCTCAACATCTAAGCTGACTTGAACTCCCTCTACACTTTCACATATGCGGGGGGAACCGTCTGATCTTGAACTAATTTGCAACGAGCTGACAGCAGACCACAGGTTTTAGTCCATGTTTCCACTAGGTCCTCCAGTAGAGAGCTTAGAATAAGGGTACCTGACTTCTTCTTTTTTTGCTGTAGTCTATTTTAGTAGGGGAACCCTCCTCAAAAAACGGGGAGAGAAGGGCACTACTGGGGGACCTAAGCCATTTACCAAAGATCCATTTGGGGTATTTTTTGACCGCCCATATTTCCAGCCGGGCAGCTCCAGCGAGGTGTCGAAGGGATACTCTGTACGCAGCTCCACCTCCGCTACGCTGCTGCGCACTTTGCTTGGCGCCCAAATGGCCGAGATCAGCCGATTCTCCTCGCGTTACTCACTCACAGGTTTCGGGGTTGCACAGGTCGTCCTCACTCTTTCGGACGAGCTCTTGGAGAAGATTGTGACAAACAAATGGATAATACTATGTATAGATGTATGTATGTATGTATGCCTGCATGCATGCATGCATGTATGTACATACGTGTATAACTAGATAGATAGATAGATAGATAGATAGATAGATAGATTAGATTAGATTAGATTAAATTAGATTAGATTAGATTAGATAGATAGACATATTAGATAGATTAGATAGATTAGATAGATAGATAGATACGATAGATCGATAGATGGATAGATAGATAGATAGATAGATAGATTAGATAGATAGATAGAAAGATAGATAGATAGATAGATAGATAGATAGATAGATAGATAGATATATAGATAAATATATAGATAGATAGATGGATGGATAGATAGATAGATATATAGATATATAGATATATAGATAGATAGATAGATAGATAGATAGATAGATAGATAGATAGATAGATAGATAGATAGATAGATAGATAGATAGATAGATAGATAGATAGATAGATAGACAGATAGATAGATAGATAGATAGATAGATAGATAGATAGATAGATAGATAGACAGATAGATAGATAGATAGATAGAGAGAGAGATAGATAGATAGATAGATTAGATTAGATTAGATTAGACTAGACTAGATTAGATTAGATTAGATTAGATTAGATTAGATTAGATAGATAGATAGATAGATAGATACATAGATAGATAGATAGATACATAGATTAGATAGATTAGACAGATAAGATAGATTAGATAGATAGATAGATTAGATAGACTAGATAGATTAGATAGATTAGATAGATTAGATAGATTAGATAGATAGATAGATAGATAGATAGATAGATAGATTAGATAGATAGATAGATAGATAGATAGATAGATAGATAGATAGATTAGATAGATAGATAGATAGATAGATAGATCGATAGATAGATAGATAGATAGATAGATAGATAGATAGATAGATAGATTAGATTGATAGATAGATTCGATTAGATTCGATTAGATTAGATTAGATTAGATTGGATAGATAGATAGATAGATAGATTAGATAGATTAGATATGGTTTCTTAACTAAACACAAAACCATTAAACACATATATGTATGCATGCATGCATGCATGCATGCATGCATGCATGCATGCATGCATGTATGTATGTATGTATGTATGTATGTATGTATGTATGTATGTATGTATCTCATGCATGCATGCATGCATGCATGCATGTATGTATGTAAGTACGCATACATATGATATGTGATAAACAATGAGGAGTACGACCTTGAGGGTATCCCTGCAAAATGCAGGGTGGAGCTTGCAAGGAATCCTCAAAAGGGTTTAGGGCAAGCTCGCTCAATGCACCTTGGAAGTCTGGAATCCCTCCAAAAGATCCACGGAAATGATCTCAACGTGGAACTTGTCTCTTTGAAGTCCGTACCTTTGTGTTTTCAAGTTCCGGGCAATCTGATGATTTTCAGGCGCGAAAAGCGCTTCCCTTTGTGTTTCGCTTACTGTGGGCTCGGCTTTTTGCTCACAAGATCCGTAAACGGAAGTCCGTTTCAATTAGTGCCCCCCGGTGTCCCCTTGGTTGTACGAGCAGGGTTGCTCCAAATCACAAATGAAAAGCAATCATGACAACATGAAATCATGGGGCTGTGGGGGAGGGAGGAGCGGAAGGGAGCCCAAATAAGCCCTAAGTAAGGCCTTATTAGGGGCTTAATGGCGTATTTCCCCCAGCCCCCATGATGAAAACAAGAGCGTACCAACCCTGGCGTGGCTTTTACAAGGCAAGCCAATTTTGAGGGCTTCCGATTCCCACCAGCCCATCCGACCTAACATTGTCCTCCTCCTCGAAGAAAAGGCTGCTGGCGAATTTGGGGTAGCCCTGGTGGAAGTTCGAGGTGCAGCAAGGGTAGTTGGGCTCCAAGCCTGGGCTGGATTGGAGTTTTGGGGGGGGGCTTGCTGTGGATTGCGCAGCTGCGCAGCTGCGATCCCCGTGGCTGAAAGTGACGAACAGTTTGGTGGGCTAGATGGAAATCACCACTGAAACAACTACAACGCCAAAAAGCGAAGTGGATGGCTGGGAACCGCCAAGTCAGAAATCGCACCACGGAATGAAACCATGGACTTGACACCAGAACGTTTGTTCGGAATTTACACGGGGATCGAATCATTCCAGGGATTCTGAACAGTGGTGCAAGAGCGGATATTTCAACCATCCGTATGGGACCGAAGCTTTGGGTGCACCAAAGACCAGATCAGATGGTCCACCCAACCGAAATCCTCCATGTTTGAAAAGCCACGCAAAGACTGAGTCCCGTGAATCTCCAAGGCCTAAACATACCCATGCGGCATGTTTGATTCCGTCGTCACTGGGAAAGGCCGCTGGCTCAAGCGGTGCTGGAAGAAATCGCTAAGCACTCGGGGAATGCGCAGGCCAGAACAAACAAACAGACAGACAGACAGACAGACAGAAAAACAAACAAGCAATCAAACAACAAGAGCGCAAACAAACACACGGAAGCACACATACACAACCACTAACCATCATGCGATTAAGATCGCGAAGAGCACAAGGCCTTCATAGTTTTTGGCTCCTATTTCGGACCGCTGCAACTCGCCGGAAATTGATCCAAGGCGCCGTACATGGCGGCGTTTGGCCCATCATGGACCCAAACATGGACGTCTTCCCCAAAGAGCGCCTGGCGCGTTGGTGCGGCTCAAGAAAGAGGACCACAGATCCAGAAACTTGCGAATCCACTTTACCAAGCCTTCTTTAAGAGCTGGGGGGCTAAGCAAAAGCTGGCTTTTTGCGGCACCCGAGCTAAGAGAACCAGAGTTCCCGGTGTTCCAAGCTTGAAACATCACCCGAAGCTCACCTGAATTGGGCGAGATGGTTCAAACCTGCCCAAAAGACCTGGAAATAAAAGGTTAACCTGTTGAGGCCTTTACTAAAAATGGTTGCCAAAAAACGGAAAGCCAAAAGGTCAACAGGTCGATTCGCTTTGGGCAAGTGAGTGAGGGCTTCCTGTAGGGCTCATTTTTTTGGCAAGTCGTGGTCGGGCGAACCAACCCAACGAAACCCACCCATCTGAACCCAGGGATATTTCTATCCAACCCATGGATCTTTCTATCCAACCCATGGCTCTCCAAACTCCTTGAACGTATTTTCGCCTCGGATTCGACCACGGGCAGAACCCTACCAGGTGATGCATCCGTCACTCGCCCCGGGGTCTCAAAGGATCACTACCCGGGAACATGCCGCGTAGAGTGTTATATGATAACCGGCCCACTCACATGCCTAAGCCGGAAGATGATTTTCCTCTCAAAGGGACCTCTGGTGGGATCAATCATAATCAACTGGAAGGCTACCCTATATAGTAGTTGTTTTGGCATAAAGGCCATGATCCTATGTGGCCATGGGTCATAACCTATGCCTCCATTGTGGGGCGGATGAACACCCATGTACCACCTACTTCATGTTCACCAGGAGTTTCATGGGTTTTGACCCACAGCCATACTGTATGAACCCCATGAGATTCACGGTAACTTTGGTGTACGGGGAACCGAATGACCTGGTAGGAGTTGGCCATCTGCAGGTAGGGATGTGACCACAGGTCATCGCTCCTTTGACACGCGCTGCACAGCCCAATACCCCCTGGAGAAAGTTAACCTGTGGTTGGCTCAAAGGGAAAGTCATTGTCTCAAAGATCTGGACACAAAAATGAATCTATTGAACCATTTTTTCAACAAGAAAAAACTGAGCACAAGAACACAACAAAAACGACTCGAGAGGTGAGCCTTCCGGCGATGGCTCACAGACCAATCTGGTGCTCACCTTTGCCATAGACTCTCCTTCTGACCCTTTAAAAAAGGTTGGTCAGTACCCAAAAGAAAGGTGTCATGACCAACCATTTTGAGAGGGTCATGCAGACTCTAGGTTCCCATATCCAGGATCATCCTCTTTTCACCCATCGCTCGCTTGAAGTAGAAAGCACAAATACATTCAGTGGGCATGGGGCACTGTAGGAAATGGGGAAAGTGCAGAACATAGTTGGGAAACAATGCATGTTTCTTCAACTCCGAGCCAGCGATTTGACTCTTCCGACTCTTTCTCATCACCTTCCCTACTACCATGTTGCAACATCAAAGGACAAGCAAACGCTCAACAGGCAGGCCGGCAGGCAAGCAAACAAAAGAACACACACACACACACACATCAGCAAACCAGCAAGCAAGCCAACAAATGCATGCGTGAATCTCAATCATTCATCTTCATGGGCCTCGAGGTCGCACATCTTATGGTTGCCAACATGTACCTGTTGCAAAATCATCGGAACCATGAGAGTTCACTCAATTTCCCCGAAACACATCCCCAAAACCTGCCGAGGGGTTTTGATGTTTTTTTCCCCCCGTGTGGTTTGTTTCTTCTTATTTTTTTCTCTGCAGCTTGGAAAGCACGCCAAAAGCACGGCGGACACGCCCGCCGTGTCCCAACTCGGACCGGCTGGAACCACAGAAGGCGGCCACCCAAAACGACTGGGCCCCCCGATTTTCCGATTTCCGAGGTCGAGTGGAATGGCCAGAATGAATCCGCCCCACTTTTCTGGGCCCGTTTTCTGATCCCCCGCTAAAAGTGGCCAACTTGTAGTGGGCTAAATACGGAAACTACCACGAAACACTCAAAAGCTAAAAACAAATGAAGGGATGGCAATGGTCTTCCCATGAACTCAGGGGGTGAGCCTTGGCAATTGTCCAGTGGGTCTCTTCCATTTGCTTAAGACCCCAAGAGAAAACACAAGCACAACATATCTCCAGTCGTGAAATGGATTCTCTCAACAAACAAGGGGAAGAAAAAACAAGACACTCTTAAGCAAATGGAATGGCTCTTATAAACCATCCCTGGTGAATTCCTGGACCAAAGCCGTTCATTCAGCCAAGTGAGTCACCTTCCTAGGGACCACATTCCCTATCGCACCAAGTCAAGTGAGTCTTTGGGGCGATGCAAAAACAACATCCAGCCAAGAGCCAAGGCTCAAGCTGCCTGGCAAAGCATTGAATGCCAGCGCCTCCACCGCATCCAGAGCCTTCAACGCCTCCCATGAGTGGACCCTTGGCGTCCATTGGCTGAAGCCCATCGGAAAAATATGATCTAATCATACTTCCAGTGGTCCAACACGTAAAAAGAACAAGCAGCCTTAAGCAAGTAGAAGTAGGTGACCATGGTGGGAACTTGCCTTTGACACACTCCCTGCCTTTGTTTCGACCAGCCAAGTGGACAAAGACTGCATTTAGATGATTTGGAAGATGGCAACATGGTCAACACTTGAAGGACTTTTAAGCCGCAGAACGGGGGTCAAAACCACGGCGCCGGTGGGTTATAAGTTGTAACTGTATAGCTGCTAACCATTTACCACGATCATCCGAGTAATTGCAACACAGAAAGAAGCACCCCCCCTCCCAGTGATCAACCAGGAGGTATGACTGTCAACATTTCACTCCATGGTTGCTCAAGCTGATCAAACAAACATCTTCAAAGCTCGAAGGATACCTTCGAGGTGCGAATTGACAACTACAGTCTTTCAGGACCAAAAGAGAGCTTGCCCCTTCTGAGATTGAAACCGTTTTCAGAATTCCCTGACCCCTGATTTCCCGGACACCGATCTCTCACCCCCTGTTTTAAATGGGGGCCTGTTCTCTGGCACCTCTCGGCATCTTTTTTGTTTTCTTGCTGGCTCTCAGCCGAGAATGAGAAATGGAATGAGCTCAAAAATCCCATCCCCTCTGGTTTCCTTTTAAACAAATCCCCAAAACCGGTTCATTCCCAACACCTGGAAGGTCATTCCCTATATACCTATCGCACCGGCAGGTGAAAACTGGGATTGGCGTTTATCAGGCTTAGTAATTAACTTCCTACGCCTTTTGGTGGATCTCACTTCTCTCCCTATCGCACCAGGTGTTTGCCGCTCGCCTCCTGGTCGGTGGGGGCCATCTGGGCCGTCAAGAGCAGCGACCACATGGACTCCACCACCGTGCAAAGCTCCGTGCCCCGCGAGGGCAAGCGGCCCCCAAGGTGCTCCTAACAAACAAGTGTGGAAAGCCCCGCCCCAAAAAGGAAGAACACGGGCACTCTTTGTTGGTAGCCCCCCCCCCCCCCCGCTTTTTTCAGAGAATCACTCATGCCAAAAAAGGCAACGCCCCCAACACCCCAAACTTTAGAACCCCCCAACCCACCCCCATAAAAAGCCCCCTTTAACCCCCCCGAAACTTCCATTCACCCAGACCCGAGTTGCCCTTTTCCTGTTCTTTCGAATTCCTTTCAGGTTTCAAAAGCTGCCTTCAAAGCCACCAAAAGCCCCCCCCCACCAAGCGACACTCACCTTTGGCCCAAAAAGGCGATGCTTGAAACCAGCAAGAAGTTGGAACTCTGGGACCCCTGCCCAAACACATCTCGAGCTTTGTCCCCGGGATTTTTGTTTGGTGTGTCTGTATATTTCACCCAGGGGCTGTGAGAAAACCCGTTGACCAGTCGCTCCCCCCACTGGGTCCTCTAGAGAGGTTAGAATAAGGGTACCAACTTTTTTTCTGTAGAAACTCTTTTAGTAGGGGACCCTCCCACCAAAAAGTTGGTAAAAGGGCACCCTTTCGCTGGGGGGCCCAGCGCTCCCGTTTTTCGGTCGCTCAAACCGGGCGTCGTCGGCGCTGAAGGCGCCGCTCGGTTGGCCGTGGAAGCGCCGCAGCTGGCTCCAGGCGAGCCAACTCTCCGCGAAGCCCAGGGCGAAGTCGCCGCTCTGACGCGCCCAAACCGCCCCGCGCTTCACCTCAGATCTCTGGTTTTGGGGGGGAACACCCAGTTTGGGGTGGTTTTAACGGAAAATACTAGTGTTCGGGGGGGCCTCCCTTGTTTTTAGAAGGAACACAAACGGAAAAACACAATTTGTGGTGGTTGCCTTTTTTCCTAAGGCAGGTTATTCCGCGTTCGCAACCAAACCCAGCTGGTCACCTATGTCTTCAGAACGAACCGGATAGAAAGCTCGGAATCGCAGGGCAGAAAAACTTGCTGGTTCTCAGTAGGGAATGCTCAGTAGGGCATGTGGGGATGAAGCCAGGGTCCCTATACAGGAAACCGTGAGGGATGGTTTAGAAGGGTCATTCTCTCATTCCCTGCTGAGAACCGGCAAGAAAACAATCCATTGAAACATGAAACTGATTGAGCCATACAGTATCGCCACAGCGCCTTGTTTGGCCAGTTTGGACCCAGTACTGCCAGGTGATCACCTGTTGAGGCCACCACTAAAACTGGACCAGGTCGAAAGGTCGATTCGCTTCGGGCAAGTGAGCCACACAGAGACCAAACAATCAATGCCAAGCCTTCCTCATCTGAGCAACGGACAGAAGAAACACATCCCCCAGCGAAGGGGCAATTTGGGGCCCTGTCTGAAGCCCCATGTGATTCGGTGCGCGCCCTCCCGCTTCTGTTCGTCCCAAACCAACAGACTACCAATTCCAATGAGATTGTCAGCTGGTCAACCTGGCCGACGTACCTAAAGTCTTCAGAACTTGGACTCGTTTCTGTTCAAGCTTGGACGATTGCTTGCGGCACCCCACCAACTCAGCAGCGCAACTAATTTGAAGCCCAACTGAGAGCCCGCATGTGAATGTTTTGCCAAGCAACATGGGAACATACTCCCAAACCAACAGCACTAATTCCAGTACTGACAGTGCCAACCACCAGGAAACAACAACAAGTCACAGAAAATATGTTGCGTGTATGAGGCAGTCAAAGCGAATCAAGTAACGAACCTGGTTGGAAGGGACGGGAAGGAAAGGGCAAGCACAGTTTCAACAACATTTGAGGACGGGGGTCCCTTTGTTGGCAGCTAGTTTCCCCACCTAGTCCAACGCACATACCTGCACCTCTTCCCCGCAAAGCCAGCAAACAGGAACAATCAACTTAAAAGTACGCCAATAACTAGTCACATGCGCACTCCAACTCGGGTGAATTCCTTCAGTTTTTTTAGCTCTAGGATCCTAAGGCTTCATGCCGAAACCAGTTAACCAACGCCCACCCGTGCTGACTGCTTCTAACATGGCTTCAAAGCACACTTTGTAGAGGCCTTGCTACAATTCAAATTGGGTACTACATCCAACTTAGGAATCGCCCTTGAACAACTCCAGCCTAAGACAATTCTTTTGGGGGATTCTCAAAACGCTGCTGCCCCTGCTGCCCCCCCCCCCCTGAAACTGGCTTGGGGATTCTCCAAACCTGTCGCCCCCTGAAACTGGCACATCCTTTTGGTGTCTTAGCACTTTGCTAGCCCCCAGGCACGCGGCGAAAAGGGCCAGGGCCAAGCCGCGGCTTGGGCGTTGTTCACGCCGTGGGTTTCCATCGTGGCGGGATCCAAGACCTCGGCTGGATTGCGCTCGGCGCCGGTGCCCGGCGCACCCGACGAAAGCAGGGTTCTCGTTATCTGACTAGCCCAGGGTAGACTTAAACCCATGGATCCTTACCCTCAAAAGAAAAAACACTGAATCGTAAGTCTATCTCGGGGTAGGCAAAAAGTGGGGGTCCCGGGACAAAAGGCCCACCTGAGGCTCACTGCGTTCCTCTTGATAAACCTCGCATGGAAGCCCACGGAGTTCGATCTTGTGTCCGATTCCAGCTGGGACCCCCTCACTCTGCGAAGCTAACAAAACAGTGGAGAACCGTGGGCCATTGGCGATGTTGAGAAGAAGCCTGGCTGGCAACCCGGACGCGTCCTGCTGCAACGAAAGTGTCTTGCTCCACAGTTTGGCTAGAACTCTCGAAACACAGTTGGACCCGGTTCAACAACGAGTTCATTGATTCCTTGATATTTAGAGTCGATGTTTCTAAGTTTCTTCTGCTACTCGGGAATTACAGCCTAGGGGGGGACAGAGAATGGGGTGATTCCTCAGGTCATGTCATTTCAGGGTGCAATAGACAAACCCTGAACATTCCAGGAAAGAAGGTTCCACCCCAGCGCAAGGCACGGACTTCAAACGCCAACCCTCTTGAATGTCTGATGTTGACCAGTATAGTGTTAGCTAGTTTTTCAAACACTAGTGGAGACTTTAGTGGGGAATCTACCTTAGCAAATAGGGAAACACGGAGCTGCGATTAAACTGGGAAACAAGAAGCAATATCCAAATCTCTTCCGGCAGAAGCTATTCTGGTGTTGTTTGAAGCTTCCATTTTGCTCCACCTGGCTCCCCCTCCCCTAAGAAGAAGAATAATAATAAGAAGAAGAAAAAAAAAAAAAAAAACATCTAACGCGCAGGGAACAAACAACAACAACAAAAATAACAACCTGTTCTAGGCAAAGCTTTCCTGTGGCCGCGAAGCACTCCCGCCTTTTCAACCTCGGTGGGTTCCTTCTGTCCGCTCACACCTCCCTGAACTTGAATAGAAATAGACAGGTGACATTCCCCCCCCCCAACAAAACACACACACACACAACAAAAAGAAAACAAGTCAAACGGATACATACATATACATGTATATATATATATGTATTGATGTATGATCATATATACAAATAGATATGCGCTTCACTGAATATGTCGCCAGGATCCCTGTCCGTCGACCCTCCCTTTTCACCAACTCGCCGCGAGCGGCCGGGCGCGTGGCGAAGGAGGATGAGTTGAACCAACCCTCGTTCCAGTTGAAGCCTTCACGGTGAAGCCGCGCAGCTAAGTCCAGCATCCACTTTGCCTTCGGAACGGACTTCACCCATGCAGAATGAATGGATTGCACATTTGATCTGCAAATGTTTAAGAAATAATTCTAAAAGCTAAATCAAGAATAAAATCCGACGAAATGGACCTTTCTCATGGTAAGCTCTTTGAACCCAATTGAGGGTGTGAAGGCAGCCATAGAACGCCCTTGAGCAAAAGTGGGCGCAAAGTACTTGTGCCGTTCCCTGTTTTACCCCGCCTGAACAAAAATGGGTTATTGTCCAAAATTAAGGGGTCATGACCCCTTTTTCTAGGGGTCATGGAGACTCTAGGTAGGGACCAAATCAGAACTACAGCATGAAAACCAAAAAGGGGCGGCCCTTGCAACAAACAACAGTCGAACGCAGCTCACCAAGGCAGGTGGCTAGGTGAGATCCTGGCGGCAGCGCGTCCACAAAGTAATGCACCGACCATATCCTCAGCCGCATGCGCAGGACAGGCGCAAAGGGGTCAACACGCATGGCCATGTTTTTTGATTATTGTTGTATTTGTAACAATAATATTAATAATAATAAACATGTGGTCGAAAAATATAACGACGGATGATCGGCCAAGGCTCAGGTCGTGTATCCGCATGGAGGACCAGGTCTGCAGCGTCACGCCCTCGTCCAAGCGACGGGTCAGCGCGTCGAAGAAGCGATAGGCCACCGACTCGCAGCGAAGACGCCCGGCGCCCTGAGGCAAGGACCTGGCCCAAGGCTTCCACAAGGCGCGCGCAGTGGAAGTGAACCAAGGGGGAGCGGGGTGGGGGGGTTCCCCAATTCCATTTATCTAGTCTTCCCATAAAAGGGAAATGGAACCATAAATGGAGATCTCCAGAAATAGACCAACATGGGAAAGCCAAAAGCTCCAAAGGTCGGTTTGTGCATTAGAAGTGAACCCCCTCCAATTCCTGGGTGTTTCATACGGGTCTGCTTTTGTACAACCTTTTCAGCAACCTGTTTCTTCCAGTTGCTTAAGTCCCCTGGAATAAATAAACACGTACATTTCCAGTGATAGATTCCCTTCCAACTTATTCTTAGGCCAATGGAAGACCCGCTTTCATTATTAGCGTGTGGCGCCCCAAGCCACTAGGTGCATGGGCCACCCTAGGGCCATGGCGGCAGATACAGCGAAAAAGGAATGCCTTTTGCTGGGCTGCCCTCAGGTCCCCCGCCAAAAGTTCTACTTTTAGTAGGTTAAATGGAAACTACCGCCAATCACTAAAAGGCTAAAAGGATAAGGAACCGGATGGCTAGAAGCCACCAAGTATTGAGTTGACCATCTATATTGGGAAATCCGAACAAAGCTGAGGGAATTGGGCAATTTGGAGGGTGCCCCTGACCCCTGCAGGTACTTTATCTTGCTGGTGCTCGGTAGGGAATGAGAAACGGAATGCCCCCTATAAAAAAATGCCAATGGGCCAACAACCCCGCAATCTCAGTGGATTGGCCAAGAAAGAGGCCGTGGGTCCAAACTAATGGGATCCAATTTTGGGGTAGGTGCACCACCCATTTTAGTCTATTTGAGTGAGGATTGGGATGTTCATTGGGGTTACCAGAATTTGACCCATGGCCAAATGGTCATCCCACAGAATTGGCCAGAACTTGGTCAAGAGCAGCGCAAAAATCCTTGTTTGGACTGCCGGTCATAAGCCATGGGTTACCACTCGTGACGACCATCTCTTCGAAAACGCACAGAACCCCCGCTCTTCAAGTGTAGAATTTCACTGCAAGGCACTAGCCCCAACATGTTCTCATTCTCCTAAGTGGCAGATCAACCAGGTAACCTCTACCTCAAAGAACATAGGGAACGCCACCATTCTAACTTTGACTTTCCTTCTTATCAGTCAAATACGATCCCCTGACTGAAATGCCTCTGGAATGACAGCCTTTTGGGGCTCCAAGTTCATCTGCAGGCGTAAAAAAAATAGGGTTTTGCTGGCAGACCCAGGCCCAGCCAAGCGTCTCATGATACTGCGCCAGCGCCATCATGAAGGGAATCCGCGACCAAATGTCGGAGCGGTCCGTGTCTGGGCCAAGCCAACCATCCTCGCGCCAAACGCCAGCGCGCTTGTGTTCCAGAAGCTATTCATGTTTCCCACGACCCTTTCCAAAACGGTGAGGTGTTTAAGGTTTGGATGTTAGTACTCGCATGTAAAACACATAGGGCTCAGGAGGCAAAATTGCTTATGCGCATCTATCCCCTGGATCCTTCCTGAACGCAGTGAGCGGCAGGAGGCCACCCAGCGATGTGCCAACAAAACCTCATGCTTGGTGCACCCAGAAGCCTGAGAACAAGGAGGTTACCTGGCGGTGCCTGCGACACGTGGTGTGCATTGTTTGGGGGAACCCCCCCCAAAAAAAAAGAACGAAGCAGCAGAAGATGTGTTTTTTGTTGCGTTTGGTTTCCTTGGTGAGACTGTGGAAGTCCTGATTCCACTTCACAGTTGGTAGGTGATCTACCCCAAGATGTCTAGGCTTTCAGCCAACTGGTGCAGGACTTTGCACTTTAGAGGGAAATTAATTATTGCGGACACCGGGCCTAACAACTTCCATTTGGTTAAGACCAATGGAAAATAATAATATTTTGAGTAGTGATAGATTCCCTTTCCAACCAACAGGGGAAAATAACAAACATATTCATTTCAGCAACTAGAAGACAATGGTCCTTCCCTTGCCGGGTGATGATGCCGTTCATGTAGCTCTCCACCAGGGCCAGCAAATTGGTATCCTGCCTGTCTCCGGCCAAACTTGTGGACATACATCCGTGGCTTGAGGCGTGGGCCGATTTCAAGCAAAGCTCCACCCAAGAACCGCCAAGATACCTGAGCATAGTTACCCTGGATACCCCCTGCTCCAAATACCAACTTTTTCTAGGGGATTTTTTTGAAAACCTGGGATTCCACGATAAATACATCCTTGTTTAGTAGAGCGTCGACATCATACCCTAAAAAAAAGGGTATTTGGAGTAGGGGGTAGAGAAACCTGGGTATGCTCAAAAGGTATCTGGAGGCGTCCCAGTTCACGTAGATGTGGCTGCCCCGGAAGGGATCAATTGAGCTTCTTGAAAGCTTAACAAAGAAGGCCGCTAGCTCGCAGCTTGCGGTTTCGTAGCTGAACTGCTTTCCTGTCGTCTGGTGAGGATTCGAGCTTGAGATGGAAGCCGGAGGGATTGAAGGCTTCCCCACCGATTCATAACTGGTAAGGTGAAGCGTCGTTTTGGGCCTATTTCAAGAGGACGTTCATGCAAACCCAGGGCGCGAGGGACAACAAAGACTTGCCCTTCTTGTTGCCTGAAATCAGGGAACATCATCCCAACAAACGCAAACTACAGAAATGTATGCCACTGCCGGACTGGGCTGCAATTGCAGGGCAAGAGGCACCGCGCCGTTCAGCCAGTAGGGTGTGTTCCTTGGTGAGCAATTCTCCCCGACTTTCTCCAAACAGAAAACCCGTTCATCCTGATGTCCCTTCAGCTAGCAAACACGTCGCCCCAGACCAGATACTCTCGAAACGGACACGCCGGCCGATACTTCACCAACCCAAATGAACATCATCAGAAGGGACCTTCCTGGGTGCGGTTTGTGTTGCTGCAAGTGCCCGCAGTGCAAATCACATCACTTGGCTCAGGGAATGCCTGGGACGCAAACCATCCGTCTCCCTTAGCCTCTGGATCCTAAGTATGGCGTTCTTAAAATCCTCTTTGGAGCAAACCAGGGGAATGAAGGGGTAAGGAATTGATCGCGTAGGCCTGATGGAGCCTTGTCCGGAGGAGGAGGCTTCGTATTGCAAGATTGGCCCCCTCACAGTTGCCCTGACCGAGCATTGTTAAGCACTCCAAGACTCGGAGGGACAGGTGTTGACCCCTGCCCCAAGCGAAAGGTTGGTTTAGAGTGGGTTTAAAGGTTGCTTTAGGGTGGGTTTAGAGTGGCTGGTTTAGGGTGATTTGCCCAAGCGTTTAATCAGGCCCCGCAGGAAGAAAGGAACCCCCCACTGCAATGGGGACCCGGAACAACGGAATACGGTGGATGGTTGCCGCACCACCTAAGAAGCCCTGGAATGATAATTCCCCTGTAAATACCAACAAACAAAGGTTTCATATGGTTTCATAGTGGTGCAGGATTTTGTCCATCCACAAATTGGCGACCCAAACAACTTATTCTGCCAAATTTACTATCATGCCAAAGGCTGATTCAAGGGATCTCCAGGGAAGTGGACTCTGATCATGTTTAGCTCGTTCTACCAACGAATCGGTGAGCTCGCAATAAAATGGGCAGACTTATTCCTTGTCGCCTCTCTTTAAAACCACTCCGAAAGAGGGACTCCCCAGACCATGCCAAGGATCTCGTGAAGTCCCCCGTCAACATCCGAGTTCCCACCCAGCCAGGAGGTGTTGGCGATGTTCGGCCAAAAGAGCCTCAGTCAGCTCCCTTCGATCTATTGGACTCCAACATGGAGAAGAAAAGCACAGAAGGGCCCTTGAAGCATGGCTTCTATCTAGCCGAGTAGCATAACAAGCTTGAATTGAGAAACACAAACCAAGTGAGCCGACCAGGAAACAAGCGAAGACAACTTTCTTTAGCTGTATTGACTTTGCCCTCTACTCTGGAGTAGGGGGTACAATGAGTGCTCTTTTTCTTTGGCGATTGCCCACAGCTCCAATCAGCCCGTTTGATCCCTCCAATGGTATCCGCTGTCAGCTGGGTATATTTTTTTCTGGACGACCTCGATCCCGGCGCGCCAGAGGCAAACGGGCCATAGCAAGTCCCTTTCGTCCTGAGAGCTTCTGAATCAGATCGACATGTACTAGGTCCACCAGATTTGAGAGGTTAGAATAAGGGTGCCCGATCTTTCTGCTGTAGTCTAGTTTAGTAGGGGAACCCTCCGCCAAAAAAGGGGGTAAAAAGGCACTACTGGGGGACCTAGTGAAATTCTGAAGGGCTTGGCCATGCAGCTCAGCTTCTCCACTGGTGCTGCGTTGCTTGGAGGTTGAGGCGTGGTTTCCCATTTACCCTCAACAAGAACCAGGGGTTTCCAAGTCCAAACCACCGGGCTCCAAACCACACCAATGAACGGGGGTCCTGTTGATATAACTTATGCCCAAAAACAGTCGAGGAAGCAGAAATAGGAAGAGTTTACACTTGCTTAAGCCCCATGGAAAAAAAAGAACATGGTTTCCGCAGTCATAGATTCCTGTTAAAACCGACCGGGGAAAATATAAAGCATTATTTTCAGCAAATGGAAGACCAAGGAGCCCACAGCCAAACGGATTCCAAACGATCGCTCACTCCGCTTCTGAACCCCCAACAGCCCATCAGCCCATCAGCCCAACAGCCCAACAGCCCAGCAGGGCGCGGAAGATGGGAAGTCAAGGCCTCTGCTTGTAGCTGCATCCTGAGATCGCTGAGATCGCGAAGAAGCTCTCAGAGAAATTCACGAGGCTGTCTCAGAAGAAGCTCAGTTTCCACTTCGTTTGGACAGAAAAATCAAAGGTGATCACCTTTTGGAACCGAGATCAATGGTTGCCAACAGGAAGCCAAAAGGTCAAAAGGTCGGCCATGGGTCCTCCAGAGGGTAGAATAAGGGTACCATTTTTTCTGTATTCTATTGTTATCAGGGGAACCCTCCTAACAAAAAAGCAGGTTTAAAAGGGCACTACTGGGGGACCTAGTCAAACTTTGATATACCACTCGACTTGTTTCTCCTCAGGCTGACCCAACTCAAACGAAGGCCCCTCTTCTTTCCGGCATGCTCCCCTTTGGGCCTGTTTATTTGAGGACCCTGTGAATGGCTTCGGTTTTCCTATTGATGTCCCTTTAAAACTATAAGCCCTACAAGACAGACCCATTTCGTCAAGGCTCTCAACCTTGCCTGGGTGCCTTATTGTGGTTTAAACGGCTTTCCCACCCCAACAGATACATTTGTTTCGAGAACCCTCTCATCATTTTAAGGGACCCTGAGAACAAAAGAAGCCCCCCCCACCCCCTTGAAAGGTTCCCAGGGCACATTTGCTGACTTACAACCTCGGCCTTGACCAGCACACACCATGTTCAAAGACCAAGTCGCTTGGACAAATCGGGTCGTCAGAAAGAACCCCTTTGAATTCCATTGTTCCATGCGGGTGTCGTTTTTTTAGGGGGCCCGCCAAAATGCAACAAAATGGTACCCTCAAACAAAAGACACAATGCCCTAACACCTAAAACCAAAGGTTACACGCACAACAAGAAGAGACACCGTGCCCATGTCCAGGAGCCCAGTCGATTGTTTCGTTCTTCCCCGAGGCTCTGCTTTCGCAGCCAGCCTTCCGGCCGCACTTGGCCAGTGGCCAGTCGCTGCCACCGCGGCGGCGACAGCGTGGGTTCGGCGGCTTCCGCTGCGGCGGCAGCCAGCAGCCTCGCGACGCGGGTGACTTGGGGCACCAAATCAGTGAGGCACTCAGCCTCAGGATCGTCATAAATCCCAACGTTTTTATGTCAACCAAAGGCATGTCACCATTGAAAGTCCATACCTAAGCTTTGCCTAAGCCTCAAAGGCTTTTTTGCCAGCCCCCACTCCATCCCTGCAACCCCTGCATGTTTCCATGCAGATCTGGGGGGCTATAAGAGGGGAAACCGGTACCAGTGCAAACGGGGGTGCGGATTTGTTGTCTGCGAGCCATCTGCAAGCCTCTCCGAGGCCAGCTGTGGTCCCTGCAAGCAAGCCCACCCAACCGTCTAAAGCCACCCTAAACCTCCCCTGACCCCAGGCTGAATCCTAGAAGCAGGACAGCCATTGGCGCGGGACGACGCCGCGCCAAGCTACCCATGGTGGCTTAAAACGCATCCGCTCGGCTTGAGCATCATAGCTTCGGGATCCACCCTCCCCCCCGTGTACTTCTAATAGATAGAGAGATACATACGTGGATAGACAGATTAGACTGGACCAGATTAGATTGGGGGTGCGTTCTCACTTGCCCGAAGGGTCCTGCAAATAAGGCTATAACTTCCCTTCTCTTTCGACCAAAACAACCGAAAAGGACACCTATGCGACCCGGGGTCCCGATGGCTTGAAACTCGGGGGATCCAAGGCTTTAGGGCCTTGGCAAAACTAGGTCCAGCAAAGAGGGATAGAATAAGTTGGTACCGTCTCCTTTTTCTCTGTAGTCTATTTTGGACACGGGGAACCCTAAACCAACCGAAAAAGGTTGGGTGAAAACGGGCGAAAACGGGGGGACCTGGAAAAACCAGCTCGGGCCCAGAAAGTTCGGCCCCATCGACCCGGAAGCTTCGTCCATGGACTTCGCGGATTTCCCGGCAGTTGCAAGCACACCCCCCGTACGGCCAGTTCCCTTGGAGGAGATCTACAGTTACCAGATCCTGCCGAAACAGGGAGGACTTCGTCGTCTTGAAGAACCAATCTGCCAAGGAGAAAGACCTCTTGTCTCCTTCCAATCCTTCGGATAAGGCACAGGTACCCCTCGTGAATGCAACCCATCTGATCCCCGCGGCGTGTTCTTGTTTTCCCTCAGCCGGACTCGTCCATCGCTTCCCTCAGCTGATTGCAAGTAGACATCGGCTCAGAAACTGGACTTGACACGCGAGTGAAAGTAGATGGTGTTCCAACCCCGTTTTGCAAGGTGTTGTGGCGCCCATTGGTTGTAATTACGGGGGCCTTCATATTTCTAACAAATGGCACAAAGCCTTACCAACTTTTGACGGCTTTCCTTGGGAGTGCACTGCCCTTTTGCCAGCCTGGGAAATTTCCGTGTGGGCAATGAACTGGGGGTGTGACGTGTTTTTAGAGAGGAAACCAAAAGGAACACAACAACTTGCGGGGACCCATAAACCAGACACGCCCAACTCTTAGTGGTATAACTTATCCTCCCCCCTCCCAATGCTCGCGGTCAAGATGCATTGCTTCCTTAGGCTTGACTGGCGATGAGGGTCACCCAACTAAACAAAAAGATTCATGTCAGTACTATTGTCTAAAATGAGGAGACCCCAGCGAAACCCACCCCACCCCCCTGTCATCAACAGGACGAGAGCTTGCAAATGTGAGGGGAACCCTCCCCCAGAAAAGGGTAAAAGGGCACTACTGAGGGACCTAGCAAAAATGGCCCCTCAAAGAGAACAAAACCACAGGTGAAAAGTGTTTTTTTTGGGGGGGGCGTGGACTTCCAGGGCCCCTGTTTTACGTCAGGCTCCATGTGTTTTATTTGGTGGGAGGGTAAGTACATGGTGGGCACCGTCTTGGAGTTGTTTTGGTCTGCACACTCGCTCCCACCAGCTGCCGCTTGGTACCCCATTTTTTTGATGGCTTTCATAAACTGAGCTGTCCTCAGATCCCCCGCTAAAAGTGACCAACTCTTAGTGGGCTAAATGGAAAGCCCTACTAAACACTAAAAAACTAAAAAGCTGAGGGGATGGCTGGGAGCCACCAAGTTAAGATTTGCTTCCCAAAAAACGGTTTGGCAGACCTAAGCACATAGTTGCTTGGTTGATGCAACGACCCCCCCTCTGCAACAAAAAGTGCGCTTGGTGGGTTTTTAAGGGAAACCACAAAGAAGACCAACATCCATTTTGTGTGTCTCCTACAAATGGAGACACCTCTACCTCCATTTGCTTAAGTTCCCTCAACAATCTAAAACATGTTCCCAATAGTGAAATCGATTCCCTTCAAAACCAACACGGGGAACACAACATACAAAACAACGATTCATAAATATACCCTGAATAATGCTAACTGACTGCCCGAATGAAATACTAAATATACCATAAATAATGCTAACCGTTTTTTCCCAAGTGAAAAATATAAAAAGATGACAACATAATATAGACTAATTCAACAAATTAACCTTCCCCCCACCTAAATGAATGAATCCTCAGTTCCCCAGCTCACAAAAGAACTCTAGAATTCCCATTGGGATCCATGCAAAATGCAGAGTTTGGGTCAGTGCTGTTCAAAAACTCATTTTTCACGAGATTTGCATGGTTTTCATAGAATGTTTCAGGAATCATGCCATGAGATTTGCATGCTTTTGTCATCTGATCTTTATTCAGGGCCAGTGCTCCAAACCATCATCCCCCACAAGATTTGCCCTGGTTTTCATAGACCACGTATCCAGGGATCGGGGGCCAACCATCATCCCCCATGGGGTTTGCATGGTTTCATAGTGAATCTATTCAGGGATCATGCAAGAGAAAACCTGATTTACCATTGGGATTTGCATGCTTTTGGCATCTAATCTTTATTCAGGGCCAGTGCTCCCAACCCTCATCCTTCATGGAATTTGCATGGTTTTCACATTGACCCTTGCAGCAAAGGTATCCCCCCTGAACCCTGCTGAATAATGCTAACCACATTCCCCCATCAAAAAATAGATATGATCCCCTTATCTTTATTCATGGTCAAGCTTTCCATTCCACTTGGCTCATCCCACACTTGGTTCTAGATTTATCCCAAACCCACAAATTTATGGGATCCCTTTCTTTCAAAATTCCGCTAAAAACCATCAAAATCAACACGTTGACCCTGGCAGCAAGGGTATCCCCCATGAACCCTGATGCACTGAATAATAACCAGACCCTGAGTAACGCTAACCAGATTCCATCTTTAAAACAAAAAACTGATCCCTCCAGTTATCTACATTTGATCCAGCAAGTTCAATCCATGAATCATGGCTCAATGATGACATGGCTGCAACGCTGGCCAAGCTAATGGTCACTGAACCCTGAATAAATTGCATGCACATCCATGCACGCCCTCATGAATGTCATGCTGAACCCCTATGCATGCTAACCCATGCGGAATCTAATGATTTCCATGCTGAATCCCTCTTGACATGCATGCTAGCCCATGCCAATCCTCATGAAATTCATGCTGAACACCTCCTGCAATGGCAAATCCATGCGCACCCTCATGAATGTCATGTCTAAAATGCATGCCAACCCATGTAAGTCCTAATGGATTTCATGTTGAATGCCGCCTGAAATGCATACTAACCCATGCACACCCTCATAAATGGCATGCTGAATCCTTTCTAAAATGCATGCCAACCCATGTAAGTCCTAATGGACTTCATGTTGAATGCCTCCTGAAATGCATGCTAGCCTATGCAAATCTTAATGCACTTCATGCAACATTGTTGGTCCAATACTACTTTAGAATTGGCCCAAAACTAAAGAACAATCCACCCCAAACAAAATAAGAAACAACATGCCCAATCCGCCGACCCCATGCCTGGTCCAGAATGGACCATGCTTTCGGCATGGGGGCGGTGTGTTCTGTGTTGCTTTTGTTGATATGCTTTCTATAAGTTTAATGTGAATATGATTATGTAGATATATATATATATAACCTATATGTCCCTTGGGGCGCCCTTGGGGCTGGTTTCTACGTCGGCTGGATTTCTGGAT